ACAACGTTGAACAAATCATGAGAACACAACATGTCAATATTCGAATGGTGAAAAGACTTAAAATAGACGAACTTAATAAGTTAATCCAATGGAACTCTGTATTAAAAAGACCTAACCTTAAAATAGAAAATTATTAAAATCAAAATTTAGAAGTTAATGTCATGTGACTTTTTAAAAAAAAAAAAAAAAAAAAAATATTTTTTTTCATTATTTTATTGGAAATTTTATAGTTAAAGGACAAAAATGCAATAATATGCAGAATTTTATTGGTAAAATTTAAAAAGAAAATACATGAAATTCAGGAAAATTTAGAAAAAGTACAACAAAAAGAAAATTTAAAGAAACTAAGAGGATTCATCGCCTGTAGGTTCATCACGAGGAGGTTCAAGTTCTACATTGAAATTATAAAGTTCTCCATTTTCAATCAACTGGTCGCAAAGAAACTTGATGTGTCAGCATAATCGTTCAGAATCCATCACCGAATTCTTCAATAAGAAACGAACAAATTTAATATCATCTTCAAGTCCTCAGATTGTTCCTTCAAGTTTTTCATTCGTATCACGTTCCTGAGATAAGAGAGAAAAATATTGAGTTAGTAATTTTTTTAAATGTTCATGGTCAGCAGAAAGCAAATCATATCGAAATTTCAAATCGGTGTCTTCAGAATTTTCTTCCAAAGGAGTCTCTTCTTGGACCATTTTCGTATTTTCTATTTTTCAAGAGGGCTAAAAAGTTAATATGCTGCAGTCATATTAAGTGAGATCGAATATACTATCATAGTCCTCAGACATTAGATGGGGTGCATATATCAATCGAGCTGAACATAGTCAGTACGAAATGCGTTTCATTCAACAGCTGTCGTGTCTGCACCATTCTTAGGTATACTCAGACTCACCTTGGTAAACTTTCTCACTGAAATATTCTCTTTGACGAGCTCTAGCTCTGCGATGAGTAGCAGGAGACTTCTTCTTTTTATTTACTCGAACCATGATGAAAGTTGAAAAATATTCTGAAAAGTTTAGGATTTTACAATAATTTTGGTAGGAAAGCAAAATTTTGAAGAAAATGGAAGAAAATTTTAACAAATATTTATAAACAAAGAAAGTGGCTGTGTCAAACTCTTGGAAATTTTCAAAATCGTGAGAATTTCCTTTTTGGTATAACATAAACAAATAATTATTGAAATCACGTAATTAATTAACAAAATTCGCAATCCTATCATGCGACCAATCGACAAAATTACAACCTCATAGAATAATATGGAATGAAATAGAATGTTTTAGAAAATTTGTTATTTGAAAATCTATAAACAAAGAATTTCATAATGACAAATATTTTAGGAATTTCACTGGAGTTCATTCTTAAAAGGGGTGAATACTGTTATAAGAAGATATTAATCTAAAAGATCATGTAACATACGTGACCAGAAGTCACATAGACTGCATCATGTTAGATGACGAAGATGACGAAGATGAAAGAAATGAATTAAATGAAGGTTACGCGAGAGACCCAGAAAGCGCCGGAAAATTCTGTTATATTATTAATTATTTTATATTATTAATCATTATTAATTATTTATTATTTATAATCAGTTGGTATTTTATTTATTTATATTATCAAATTTAGTATAAATAGGATAGCTTTAGGACTTGATTAAAACAAGATAACTTTAGACATCAATAGACAAGTAGTCAATAATAATTTTGTAAAACACTTAGGATTCAATTAGTTTTTATCACCAACAAGATAAATCCTAATAACAATTATATGCTAACAAATATAATTGTATTGAATCCTTTATTCTTAATAAAATCCTCAAGTCTATTCTAAACATACATTATTGTGTAAAGTGATAGTTATTTATAAATCCTTCAGAGCTCTTCCTAAAGCATTGAATAAAGCTGAATCCCCTTGTTAATCTTACGTTAATACTAATTTTTCAGTCGTTAGTATCGTAAGATAACATTACCTGTTGTAACTAATTGAGATGCTATCTTTAAGTTTAATCAAAAATTTTGATAATTCGAGTCAACTAACTCAGGCAAAATTGCAGATCACGTGAGAATGAAAAAATTTTCTGATAATACTTAGATAAATGATAGAAATGATCCAATTTAGACTAAAAGACTATTGATCTAATCATAGAACTGGTCTTATACTAATCTTTTTTAGGACAGATCAACAGGATTGATCATAGGATTAGTCTTTTTTAACAGTCTTATAAAGATAGTATAATTAGATTGAATTAATAAATGGGACGCAGAAGATTACATATCCAAATGTCAAATATATCGAACATATTTGACATATAGAATATATTTGATAAATCTGACATAACTGATATATTAGATACAGTTTCTGGCGAAAAGAATGGCGGTTTAAATACTGCATCTATTTTAGGCTAAAACGTAAACTGCGTTTCCAATATGGGCCATTATTTATATGACCAAATTAGGCACTGAAATCATAATATAAAAGGTAAGTTAAAAAAAATTATGTTTATTTTTGTTTTTGTTGTGATTTCTTAACCGAAAAAATGCTAAGCTCTCTTGAAATTCAAAGAAATTCCGTTAAGAGACTCTAGGAACAAACGTGCGAAGTGCAAAGGAAATTCATGAACGATTATGTATTCCTTTGCGTACATGTGAACGATATGTCAGTTTAC